AACAACGGCAGTCTCAAAATTTATCACAAATATGACGAGGAGTAGTGGGGGTAACCGACCTTCGTTCACGGAATCGGTCAGGAATCGGAAGCTCAAATGGATAGCACGTTAAAATTTTGATTTTGTTCGCTCCAGACAAATAGAATTCTTTGAAAATTGAAATGAAATGCGGAAACAATTTGATAATGGAAGGGAAAACTCTGATATTGGGATAATCATAGGATTAGTCGACTGTTGACAGATTAAAAAAGGAGTTGCTTCAAATTTTCATTTGGGTTGACGTTTGGGAATACCGTATTCTTCAGAGCCGCGATGCAGTGGGTACTCTCAGCAATTGCTGTTGTCTCATCCGAGGTCTTCATTGTCAAATCGCGTCAAATAGAGACGATGTGGGTGGGGGGAGGGTGGGGAGAGGGAGGGATTGTCAGCCAGTTTAGAGCTTCTATACAGAACGAGTCTTGCCGCTGGAGTGAACTAACTCCTCTGGTCAGTTTTCCAGAATGCCAGACGATTCTAGATCAATTGTCAACAACAAATATGTGCAGAGCAAAATATTAAGAACATAGTAAACGAAGACATAGAGGGAAGAAGCTCAGTGATAGTGATGGCCTTGATCTTTAGTACGGTTCTGGCTCGATCCCGCCCCGAGTTTACCAGGCTTCTCAACCTTCCAAAGTCGTGAAATTAATAAAGGACTTGTCTGATCCCGGCTTACTTTCGCTAGCCCACGTGACGACAGTCTAGCACGCAGTCCCAGGATGCAAAGGAGGAGCGACTCGGCCAGCTGAGCACTATGAAATGTTCAAAGAGTTTCGTGGATGATGGATGCGAGGAAGCTCACAGAATCGAAGAAGTTGTAAGATTAGCACGACAGATGAGAAAATTAGCCAATTAAAAAAATAAATAAATAAGTAAATAGATGAATAAATAAATAAAAAAACTAAGGCAATGATTATGCATGGGAGGGCTTCTTTTTGTTGATACTGAAAATATTGCTCTGGAACTTTGAATTTAATCCATCCATGAAACTCCTTTCAAATGGTTCAACACCTTAGCTGGCCAAAATGACTAAGTTTAGAGGTATTGAAAAATTGGTTGCAGATGAGTTCCATAAAACGTACAATTTTAGGACATTAACAGCTGTCGTTCATTCTCCAATGAGACGAACTGCTCACACTCTCTGAAACCATGTTGTTGCAGTCAAAACTTTTGTAATGAAATCGTCACTGGAGGTGCAGTCACATCGAATGATGGTTCGTATTGACTGAGTTAATGAAATTTTTGAAAAAATGCTTTTCATATTAATCCCTGAGGCACTATGCGTTTGACTTCGTTAAGTATCGTTAGATGTGATTGAACGCACATCTGGTCTAGACAATAATTCAAGGAGATCTATGTAACGAATCAGTGCTGCGCTCCTCCCAGGGGTCTGGAACCAATTTGTCGACCCCGGAGCGATGGAAGGCTTGCTGAGCCCGGCGCGCGCAATCCAACCCATGTATATTGCATGGTGCCTCTTGCTACTGCGGTGCACGCGCCCCTGTTTTCCTTGTAAAATATTATAAATCAAATATATTTTGCAAAAAATAAAAATAAAACATAAAAATAAGTGCAGAAAATAATTGAAAGATTACCCGATGCCTCTCTCACATCTACTCTGCGGAATCCAGCACTCCCCATTCATCTAGTTTCTTCGCGTCCATCGTACACAAAGGCTTTCCAACTTTGACGTGTGTCTTCAACTGCTGCTTGAGGATTGCCCTTTAATCATGAATGTCGTTGAATGCGGTTCGGGTCGACTCTCCCTGGTGTCCTGAGATAGCCGGACTAGAGCGCTCCCACTTGGATTGCAGAGAGTGCTGATAAAACTACAACGATGCTGAGATATGCGGAAAACTTGGATCACGGGCTACATTGAACCGCAAGTGCCCTTTTTGGGTGCTCGCGTATTACACACTGCACCACTGAGGTTCTTGCTTTGCGTTTTTCTCAAGTAGTTTCCTACCTAACACTTCCATCAGCAATCACCCGTTAGAGGGAATGATCTGTGATGCACCATGCTAGCTGGGTTTGTAAAGTGTGGTTATCTAAGCTCTTTCCAAGACCGACTCTCCGTTAACCTTTGCACTGATTGATAATTCGATTTTTTCCTTCAATAAGCAGACACGAGGTTGTTATTGTAGAATTTATTAGGATGCAATAGCTGACGTGCCGGCGATTTCGCTTTCTTCAGAGCCTGGGAAGGTCAAATTGAGATGCGATCCACCCAACCAAACACTTCCATAACCCTAACAGATAAAACTTAAAAAAATAAATTTGCATTCGCATAAGAAACAGCTTTATTTAAACACCAACCGTTTATTTGTTGCAAGTATTTAAGTTAGTTGATGGATAGCAGCCCAGAGTAATACATGGGTGATAACTGTATCTGTGCCAGGTCATTGGATCAGACTGAGGTACGGCGCCAGGTCACGCGTGATGACAGGACACTACTCATTCCGGATCACTTCTGAATTTTTGGAATTGATCCGAGCGCTTCAAGAGTTTTACGCGCTGATGTTTTCGATTCGTGCGTGAGGATCTACTCCTACTTCAAAATCATCTCCATTGTGTTCCTGCATCCTAGGCGCGCCTAGTGGAGTGTTTAGTTTTAATTTAGATTTACCGACTAGGCGTTCTTTTATGTGCACGCCGAGTGGTCTACCCGTTTCGCCAATGTATTCGTCCCCGCACGCTTTACAAGAGATGAGATAGATTGTGCCCCAACTCATGCAATCATCGTCTCTACCGTTAGGGCAAATTATGTAGTTTTTCGTTATACATAGACGGTCATATAGGCGGTGGCGAACTTGCTGACGTCGTAGAGTGCCCGATGGTATTTCTATCACTTCTACAGAATTCTCTAGACTGGCCCTTATTAAGCAACCTTTTACAGCCGCACTTATTTCATTAGAAATAAAGGGCAAGAGGAACGGAGCCTTTTTTTCTAGAATTATCGCTCTGGGGCGTGGTTTTTCCTCTATGTCTATGCCCAGAAGCTACAGTTTCGTAACCATTTGAAATGGCTATTTGGCGCTCCAGTTTCGAGGATTCTTCCCTCTGATCCTGTGCACACGTTGATGGCGGTTCAAAATATAAGCACTTCTTATAATCGCCCTTTTAGTGTGTGATGAATGAGAGGAGAGGTAATGAACTACTATACTCTTACTGCTTGGCTTTCGACACCATTTTGTGATGTAGCCGTTTTCGGATAGGTTAATTTGAACGTTTAGAAATATGAGCCAGCAGAGTATTGAATGAGCAGTCAGAGTACATAAAATTCACCCGTGAGAAACCGAAAGAAAACTGGCTTATATTTCTAAACGTTCAAATTAACCTATCCGAAAAAGGCTACATCACAAAATGGTGTCGAAAGCCAAGCAGTAAGAATATAGTGGCTCACTACCTCTCGACCTCTAGACCGCTCTGCGTCCGCAAAAAAGAACACCTAATCGGTGACTATAAATTGAAACAAAACACTCTATTAGGCGCGGATAGGATGCAGAAACAGAACGGAGAATATTTTAAAGTAGAAGTCACTATCCTCACGGACGAATCAAAAACATCAACGCGTAAAGCTCTTGAAGCGTTTTGGATCAATGCCAAAAATTCAAAAATGAACCACAAGGAGGAGTGTCTTGTCATCACGCATGACCTGGCGCCATACCTCAGGCTAATCCAGTGGCCTGACACAGGCACAGTCTTCGTCCATTTATTACTCTGTGCGGCTGCTCTCCACCAACTTAGATACCAATACAATACTTACAGCAAACAAGCGGTGTGTGTTTAAACGAAGCTGTTTCTTATGCGAATGCAAATTTATTTGTTAAATTTCATCTGCTAGGGTTATGAAAGTGTTTGGCTGAGTAGTTCGCTTCTCAATTATCTCAGATCTCTTCAGTTGACTGTTTTATTTTCGAGCCAGTATTATTACTCGACCAGTTCCGTTCATCTGCGTCTCACTCGCACTAGCTTACCGAAATTCGGATTCTATACAAGCATATTGCCCATTGGCTAATACGTGCTAAGCAATATTGAAGTTATTCCATTATTAACAATTTTAAAAATAAACACAGCTTACATAACAATCTTCAGGTTCTGGCTTTTCGGCAGAAATCTCTGCAGTTGTTATGGTATGCATTTTCTTTGGCGCTTGCTTAGTTTTCTTCGTAATCAGAAGAAAACTGGAGCGCAAGAAGCCAAAACGGTAAACTCATCAGTGATTGAAATGGTTAATTAATATAAAGTAAATCGACAACTATACATATCGAAACTGAATGGTTTTGTGAAGAGTTTTCGAAATCAGTGCTCTCTTCAGATCAAGTTCTTCAAAAAAAAGCAGGAGCAGCCGACCTCAGGAAAAGAGCAATTCGAAAGACAAAAACGGAAATAGCAGCACAGAGCACAGCTCGTCGCCAGTTTGGGAACATGATAGCCATGTCGACCATGTGGATAGCACAAGCATTAAAATCGAAGCATTCATTTCTGCGAAAACAAAGCGACAGCTCATACAGTGAGAATGATACTTTGCTTTAATATTCCGATATTTCAAGGTACAAACGTTGCTGGAAACTGTTGACAGGTGCTAGTTAAACTGGACTGTGTCATCCATAATAATACCTAACTTTCTTTGAAGTGTTATTAGGAGATGGCTTTCGTAATGAGAGTTTAGTATCACCCGTAAACGGATCACTTTTGTGCCCTTACCCTTGCCCTTTGCCCCTGTGTCGTTTAAAAACGCTTTTCGGATCTGTCAATTCTCTAGAAATAAAGACCCCCTCGAAGAAGTTTAAGCCTTTTTCGGTTGTTATACTATTAAATTGTGTAATATATTTTCTGGTACTTGCTTAGTTTTGTTTCCTGGAAATTTATTATGAGGGGAACTTCTCATACAATGGGAAGACCTTTATTTTTTTTTTGCACGTTCCATCATCTAGTCGTGCATTTGTTAAAGCCATCTGATGGACGGTCCACCTTCGCTCGAGAGCCACAAGTCATTCGAAAAGCCTCCGAAGATTGTAAAGGTCATCACCTACGCGGCATCGGAACACATCACTTTGTTAGAATCACTACCATCGAACCGTTAGTTTCTCTTCGATTTCAGGCCAGCATTTATATTCACCAGAAGTGAAATCTACTTGAAATCCATTAATGAAATATTTGGTCTAAATTTCTATGAACTTTCAGCTAAAATGTTTGTCATGATCATTACATGTTCTCAACGCATCGACAAATTTCGCCTTTTTGTCGCCTTCTAGTGTAGTTGCATGGGTGAACATAAAACGGATTTGTTGAAAGGTTTAAAAACAAAAAAACTTTTATAGACGCCTCTTAGAAAGTCTATTGTTAGAAAAAAACAAATACCAGCTTTTGAAAATATGACAAGTAATGCCAAGAACATAAATATGGTCAGGCATTCAAGTGATGTAATCATTTGCTCCTATAAAAATTACTGGTCATTTTTCAGTAATCATTCAGGCATATCGAAGGGGCCGATCTTTGCTCAGGATAGCGCTGCGGAACTTTTAGTTCAAATGGTGGAAAACGGTCCTCGAGAATTTAATTTCGATCGAAATCAGCTTATAGAAATCCTTAATTTGGGTGCCCAAATCTTTATAAATGAAGGTTCACTAATTGAGGTTAGCGAATCTGGTTACGATTATTCTCGTGCAGTACGTTGATAGTAAGCGTGTAACTAATGCCTGACGAAGTCGATCAACACCTTTGGATGCACAGGTGCCTGTACCGTGCATCATTTACGGTGATACCCATGGACAGTACTCGGACTTGTTGCGTTGGTTCAATCTGAATGGCTGGCCAAACACGACCCGGTAAGCAACACTCTATTCTGGCCTGAACGAACAGCGTTTTTGCTCCGAATTTGCAGCCTCCGTGAATAATCTCCATTACTTTCAGTAGTGTATTTCTCGGAGATTTCGTAGACAGAGGTTCGCATGGAGTTGAGTTGTTCACTTTACTTACATGTCTGAAGGTGAATTGATGATGCCTACTTATTTTATTATTCCACCCTACAAAAGTGGAATTATTTACGTCTTTGCTTTTCTCGTTCAGATATGCTTCCCGAAAAATTTATTTATTACTCGTGGAAATCATGAAGAAGAGAATTTGAATCAATTGTATTCGTTTGTCTCTGAGGTTCATTTCAAGTTTGATGGTGGGCAAATCCTTCTGGACGGTTTCGTTGTTTCAAATTTTAGCTAAAAGAGAGCATAATGTGAAGACAATGAAAAGTTACCCTTGGACATACGTTTTTGTACTCGAAGGGTTGCCTGTGTAATTTAATAAGCATGTAGAGTGGTAGCTTTTAGGAGTAAACCATTTTTGACTAACAAATAAGTAAGAAATCAATTTTCGTAGCATATAGCTTAACACTAACCACAATAGAAAGTGCTCCCAATTAAATAACACACTAGCAATTACCTGTATTACCTGCTGTCCCGCTGATCGTGGAGTGACTCGAGCGGGCACCAGCAAATCTTCCATTTTTCACTGTCGCGTGCAAGAGTAAACCAGTGGGTTCTGCTTGCTATAGGGACTTGTCGAGCATCATATCTTCTAGGCTCTTCGTGAAAAACTTTGACTATCGGGTCGGTGGCCTTCCTGCAGTGCAGTACGTTTAACATCCCGAGCAATCCAGTTACTAGCGACCCTTGTTCCTCAGTTGTCGTTCATACGCATCACGTCTTCGGCCAATCATACCTTCGACAGTTTGGTGTATAGAATGGGATCTTTGATTTTTGATCCTCGACGCAGGTCTGAGCATCGGATCTCTTCTTTTACTTGTATGACAAGGAATACTCCTAACATCGTCCGTTGCACTGCGCGCTCTATAACGTGATCGTGATCTTCCATCCTGCTAACGCAGTGACCAGGTTTCTGACGCATACGTTAGGGCAGGAAGTACACTTGAGTCGAAAAGGTGGCCACGGAGTCGGGTGTTCCTTGTTCTCACCACTACATCCTTCGATGCTCTTGAAAGCTCTTCAAGCTGCTCGTTTCCTTCTGCTTAACTCCGGAGCTAAGTCGTTCTTCATGCATATTTCCCGACATAGATAAACTTAACTGGAGCATTTGGAAAAATTCGTTCCGTTGATCGTGAATGGGGCATACGAAACCAATCCGTTTTTTATGAACATCGTTTTTATGAGATGTAGTCGAAGGCCAATCTTTTCACAGCCTTTATCAAAGTCGGCAACAATACGTTCCGCTTCGTAATGTTTGGTGTTATAAGGGCGATGTCATCAGCAAAGCGAAGATGGTGTAACTGCCGACCATCGATTTTCACTTCCATATTATCCCATTCCAATGTTGGCAAGACGTTCTGGAGTGTGGTGCAAATAATTTTGGCGAGATGGTATAGCCTTGCCTAACCCCTCTTTTGACGTCAATGTTAATATCGTTGTAGAATGGTAATATCTTGGTTGTGAAATTTTTGCACAGTTCACAAAGAATCTTTGTGTACTGAGTAGGGACTCCTTGACTATCAAGAGCTTCCATGACTGCTTCTACCGCAGGTGAGTCAAAAGCGTTCCTCAAATCAATGAAAGTGAGGCAGAGCGGTCTTTAGTTCACTCGCAATACTTCAATGAGTTTTGTGATCGTATGGATGTGGTCCATCATGCTAAATCTTTTTTAGAACCCTCCTTGCTTACACGGCTGACCTTCGCTCAGTCTTTTGTCAGTCCTATTTAGGATGACTCGAGCGAAACGTTTGTGAACGACAGACGGCAAGCAGATTGCGGGATAGTTGCCGATATCGTGTAGGTCACCATTCTTGAACAATAACACGATCTTGCTGGTCTTCCATTGCGTAGGGACCATGCATTCAAACGGGTAATGTGTGAAGATCCGAGCCAGTGTGTTTACGAGGACTAACGGAAGGTTCTTTAGGCGTTCTGATCTTATCCTCTCTGGATTTGGTGCTCTTTGTTTTTCCACCGACAAATTGGTATTTTGGATTTCGGAAGGAATAACCGGTTGCACAACATTTCCATCGTCTTTATTTCATATGAGGGCAGAAGGACATGTCTATTGAAGAGATCTGGATAATCATCATGGATGATTTTTTCCATTGCTTCTGGACGCTGTAACAGTTCCGTCTGGGTGTCAGGGTGCAATCATGTGGGTGCTGTAATTGGGAAAGCTTCGGTGGGTTTTGCGAATGCTTTCCCCAGCCTCTGCAGCTTCAACCGTTACTGCTGCTCTTCTCTTTTTAAGATCTTCTTTTATCGTTACTCTGCATCGTTTTGCAAGTTCAGGCGCTCGCGGTTGCCTGCACATCTTGCTATTCCACGATGGCGTATCAGCTCGAGTATTTCTGGAGACAGGCGTCTCCTGGAGGCCGAACTCTCAGCTTTCATAGCGCTAACGTGAATATCTTCAATGAGCCGATTGTATTTTTTTTTGATGTTATCGACAACGGCTTGTTTCCAACAATCAAATAACAAACTGAATAAGTCCCGGTTTATAATGATTCTGGGACTCCGGTTTTTGAATTTAGCGACTTTTTCTCCTTTCCGCGAGAAATGGAATCTCGCACGATTGAGGAGTTTGTCTGATCGTTTCGTTTGTGTAGAATTTTGGGAGAACAGCGACATTTGTTAGGGAAAACCTTCTATTTGCTATGATGTGGTCTATTTCGTTATGGTACTCTCCATTGGGAGACTCCCACGGCCAGCGCTGAGGGTGGCGCTTACGGAATTGCGAGTTACCATAGATTGTCTTGGTCGCCGTGATAAACTCAGAGAATCGCTCACCCTGTTCGTTCCATTATAATCCGTGGGTCCCAAAGTGACGTTTTTCGGATGTTCTTCTTGGTGCAGCCTTGGCGTTGAAATCTCCAATGACCTTGAAGAATGTATGGTCTTCTCTGTAGAACTTCTCCATGTCCCTATAGAACGCTTCGACTTCTTTGTCATAGTTTGATATCGGCGCGTAAACGATGAATAATGTCAAAGCCGGAATTGATCCACACTTCTTCAATGTAAACCTCCGATTCGGGTTGTAAGTTGCTCGAATGAAACGATGTTAATGCACAAACTCGTGTTGACGAGAACGACGACGCCGCCGACTCTTCTACTGTCTTATGTTCCGAGGAACAGTTCTTTTGCGGTGTCATAGACGGCGTTGAGTGGGTGGCGTCGTCTTGTTTTAGCTAGGCCTATGACATGCGCATCTTTCATGCTTGTATGAAAAAGTCTTCTATCGGAAACTCGGGTGCAAGTGTACGTGCACGCATTGTAGGTACAGATCGTTACCTTAGTTCATTGAGATCCAGACCGCTTCCATTGGCGCGAGATTTTAGCAACCTCTCCGTACTCTTCCTACCCAGATCTGCCAAATTGAGGGCTTTTTCGAGGTCAGGAAAATGTGGCTCGTTTCTTGTGTTGTGTTTAGCATTTTGATGTTCACCCATAGCTTGCTGAGCTCTGAACGTAGTGGCTGAGTATACTCACGAGTACACTTGCCAGTCTCTATCAGAGTAGACATGGACCTTATTTGTTGGGCGACTCCTAACCGTCTCTATATACTTGGCTCTCAGTTGTTTTAAAGACTTTTGGCCGAATTGACTTGTAGAATACAATCCGCATAAACTCGAAGGCACCCACACACACCTGCATGAATTCGCCTCGTAAATACAGCAAGTATATAAGGCCAAATTGGCACAGCAGAAACAGGTCTATCTCCTGGATCCACCCACATCTCAGAAAACAAGGATCGCTTTTGGTCCTCCATCAACCCCCTATCCACCACCTGGGGACGCCCCACGTAGCTTCGCGACTAACCGGCTATCGTCCCTAATATGAGGGAGATCCGTGGCACACTTACGAACTAAAACAAATGAGAGAAGCCTCGTTTTGAAACTGCTCAAAGGTGGTTCCTCTATATGAATGACGAAAGGCAATGCGACTTCGTTGTTGTATTGCTGGGCTTTGACTCTACAACGTATGTTTCAACCCATAGTAAACTTTATTCATAGAAAACGCATTGTGAATCTGTATCGCTCAACCTGCGTCATAAAAATTCAACTACTGCATCGCCATAAAATTTCACCATATGCTCCCAGAGCTTAAGACTCTTTGGCAACAATTATTAGAGATTTTCTAAGTAGAAATAATGGTTTCCTTGGTTGTTTTAAAAGCAACAATATGGGGATCGGGAGAAATGGAGGAATGGTGTGTGAGCAAAAGTTTCGTAACTCAATTTTTCCTACTTTTACAACTTTTGCTGGGAGACTTGCAATCAGGCCTTGCTATTGAAAAATTGTTTCAGTTGCTCTAATCAGATCCCTGCATTCTAAAATCGTTTCAGTTCATTTAATTACTGTCGATTTCAAAACGCCCTTGATGAGTTCTGTAATATTTCCGACAATATTTCGTCGCCATACACTTAGAACTACTTTTAGCTAGTAAACACGCCGGAAAAACGGAATCAATGTATGAACACTTCAAGAGGGTATTTGTGAATTTGCCACTGGCTTGCCTGATTGGTGGAGATATTCTCGGAATGCACGGAGGAATTAGTCCGCAACTGAGGACGTTACAGGTGTATCTTGAGTTCAAAACTGTAGTAGCGAAAGTTTTGTACTAAAAATATTAAACATGTTCCAGGATATACGAGATATCCGTCGTCCCATCGAGGAGTTTATGAAAGGGACTTTAGCGTGTGATCTTGTCTGGTCTGATCCGGATACTGATAATAAAGTGGTCGACTTCGAACCGAATTTTGAAAGGTAAGCAGTTCAAAAGCGTCTTAGTTCACTTGTAGTTAGGTTATAACATTTCAGGGAGTCAACTGTAGGGATTGGCCAACTGTTTTCGCAATCCGCTGTGAAAGATGCATGTGCCCGACTAGGAGTGAAGATGATCGTGCGTGGTCATCAGGTTAGTTGCTCACTAGTACTTAACGAAAAGGCTGTGCTACTATTTCGATGTCCCACCGACTTCCGTAAGAGAGGGATGTCACGCTGGCTAGTGAGGGTGCAACGTAGCATGTCTTCATGTGTAGGTTAAGAAGTTGATCGAGAACCAAGAGCAACTTTTGGCTCCCTCAGAAGAACGTGGATGCAGAGAAATGGACACCTTATTTCTGCTGCTCCGATGTGGCTCATGCCTTCTATATTTGTGAGGACGAATTTATGCATGCTTGACTGGGTGTGCTCCCTCTTATGGAGATTGTATTCAACGAGTGAGCTCGGCCAAGACCCTGCAATCAAGGTACAGACAAGTATATGGAAGGCTGTTAGGAGTCAAATCCAACAAAGAAGCCTTTCGAAGAGATTGCAATGCTAACCGTAAGTATACCCAGTAATTCCGTCCAAAGCTGAAGGAGCTGTATGTGGGTATTAAAAAAGTTAAACAGAGTAAAATAAGTAGGTCTCACTCCTATAACTTTAGAAAAGCCGCGATTTGATAGCCTTTGGAAGGGCGAGTAGAGAGAGGCTGCTACAATCTAAGGGCCATTCAAGGCTGCCTAAATCAGATGGGACAAAGGCGACCATTTGTGCTCACAATGTACGCGGACTTGCATCTGAGTCGTCGACAGTTGACGTGATCATGCAGGCAAGAACTATATATACAGCATCATCAAACTGCCTGAAACAAGACGACACCACCTATTCAACGCCGTCTATGGCGCCGGAGAAAAATCATTTTTCGGAACTTGCGACACTAGAGAAGTCTGCGGCGTTGGCCTTCTCGTCAATGCAAGTATATCCATGAACGTCGATCCATTCGAACAACTGGCAACCCGAATAGGACTTTCACGATTGAAGAGGTGTAGATCAACACGAAATTTGACAATTTTTGCCGTCTACGCGGCGACGTCAAGCTATCGCGAAGAAGTTCAGACGCTCTATATGGACTTAGAGAATTTTACAGAGAAGACATTACATTCTTCAATGTCGTCATTAGAAACTACAATGCTAATATTGGACCAAGGAAAGCGTCTGAAGAACGTCACATTGGGACCCACGGATTAGAATGGGACTAGCAGAGTGAGCAGTTGTCTGCGTTTAACATGGCAACCAAGAGCGTCCATGGTATCTCGCAATTCCAGAAAGCCTAACTTCGTGAATAGACGTGGCACTCTTTCGATGGAGAGTACCATAACAAAAATAGACCACCTCATATTAGGTCAAAGGTTGGCCAACCGATGTCGTTATTGTTGCAGAACATTGGCACGGGATCAGACTATCGCGCCTCCTTCGTGCAAGATTTCGTTCTTAGCGGAAGTGAGAAAAACCCGTTAGATTTAAAAAAAAACAGAGTCTAAAAACTACCTTAAACTGGGGCTTATTCAGTTTATAAGTCGGCTATCGGAAAGTTGTCTTCCGCGACAAGGCCGAGAGGGAATACAATAGGCAGTTGGAGCTATAAGATCTGAGAGTTCGAAAGTTCCCAGGAGACTTCTGTCTCCAAAAACACACGACCTGATGCGCCCGCGTAGAATTGCACGGCCATAGGCAGCCGCTCACTCACGCCCGTAGTTGCAAAATAATGGAGCCTGGCTATAAAAGATGGTCTTAAAGAGAGAAGAGCCGTAGTTAGCGAAAACCATTTGCGAAGCCTACGAGGCTTCGCCAATTGCAAAATCAAGACGAATGTACTTCAACGTTAAGACAGAACAGTTACCACGACCAGAAAAGGAATGGAGAAAATCGTTCAAAATTACTGGTCAGATCTCTTCAATAACCACGTCCTCATGCCCTCATGTGAAATGAAAGTGGATGAATTTTTCGTTTTATTGGTTCTGCCTTCTAAATTCCTTCATGCCAGTTGCAGTATAAGATCTGGACACCTAAAGAACCTTCTGCGAGTCCTCGTAAAAATACTGGCTCTATTCTTAACACGACACCTGTCAGAATACAACACCATCGCTCAGTAGAAAGCTAGCAGTGCTGTGCCATTGTTTAAGATGGGTAACTCCATGACGTCGGCAACTATCGCCCAATCTGTTTACTGTCCGTCGTCTACAAACTTTTTGCTCGAGTGATCTTAAAAAGCACAGACAGAGCAGTGGTCGAAGGACAGCAATGTGGGCAAGTGGGTTTTCAAAAGGGATTCAGTACGATGGATCACTTCCCACACGATAACAAGACTCATTGAAATATCGCGAGAGTTCAAGAGACCTTTCTGTCGCATTTTTATCGATTTAAAGACAAGATTTAAAGACAGCCTTTTACTCAATCGAGATAGAAACAGTTATAGAATCCCTAGACAGTCAAAAAGCAACTGTATAAAGATTCCTCGTCAGCTGCACATGAATTTCATCGTCAAGATACTACCTTTCTACAGCGATATTAACATCGACATCAAAAAAGTGATTAGGCAAGGTGATACCATCTCGCCAAAATTATTTACCGCCACCCTCGAAAACGTCGTGCGAACATTGGAATGGGATAATATTGGAGTGAAAATCGATGGTCGGCAGTTACACCATCTTCGCTTTTCTGATGATTTCGTCCTTATAACACCAACATTAGCTGAAGAGAAAGAACGCTTGCCGTCTTTGATAAAGGCTGTTAAAGATTGGTCCTGGATTAAACCTAATATAGATGGTCGTGAGCAACGAAATGTTTACGTATGTCTCATTCACGCTAAAAGAATGGAATTCCCGATGGACAAAGACAGTTAGTGACTGAATTCCTCGGAATGTCAAACGTACTGCAGGAAGACCACCGACCTGGTGGTCAAAGTTCTTTATGAAAAGTTTAGAAGAAATATATGATGCTCAACGTGTTTCTCGAGCCCACTGAGTTATTGTTGTACGTGAAAGGGAAAAATGGGGGATTTACTGGCCCCTGCTCGAGCCATTCGATAATCAACGGGACGACAAGCGACAGATGACAGGTGATTTTGATATCCTCTCTATCGAAATAGGTGTCGACGTACGTCCTGTGAATAAAATAAACTGAAATTAATGAAATATCAATGCTGTGTAGTTTCGCAAAAAAAATGTCGTTTTCAAAATGTCACTAAATGAGTATGCTCTTCAACGCTCAAATCAGCAATGTGAGTTCTTACTGCCACAAACACCGCCTGGCGATGAAGAATGCCATGAGAAAACCAAACAAATCAGTAATGGAAGATACGAATTAGCAAAAAGTGCGCAACGTTATTTTGTCGGGATGGATGATACAGAAACACTGTAATTCATCATCGTTATCAAGCCGTCATGAATGTCATTCTCATGAAGTCTTTCAAATGTGTCATCGGTTCCTTCGCATGAAGTCCTCAATAATTCTGTGTAACAGTATTTCTTAACTTAACTAACCATTTTAATGGTAGTGTTTTCTGCTGTTCTTCAACAACAGGCTCGGCTTAGCCAACACATTCCTGGAGGTCGTCCCAGTGGGAGAACCTTCCAGATTTGCGTCATCGCATTATCATTTTCACATTTCTTTCCTGCTCTGGAAAAAGCGACTTCAAAAGATGTGCTCTTTTCAGAACTTTCCCCATTAAATTCGGTTTCAAGCATCCGTCATCCCCCAAAGTCTTCTGATTTATAAGATTAGCTTTTGCTCTAAGACTTTTGATCTTCTTCGTGAATATCGTAGAATGATGGTCGAGTTGATTCTTTCATTAACTCTAGGATAGCAGTGCTACAACGTTCTCACATTCTCATAATAAGCGCAATCTTTTGTAAACTTGAGGAAATTAGTTGGTCCTTGATCAGTCTGGCACGAGTTACCTGATTCCGGCGGGATAGTAGTCTCGGTGAAGTTGGTGTGAGGTTAAACAGCACCTTGCTCGTATTGGACGGCGCCATTAACGCTGCTTTAGCCACTTCTTCACTTCTTACAAAACGAATGGTGAAGAAATCGATTTAAGAAGTAATAGTCGAAGGATTTTGTAGAGCTGCTGGACTAGATAAATGTTTTCTCTTCCATCTGGAACAATGTCTCGTGCGTAATTCAACAATCCATTATTTCAAAAAACATGAAAGTCCATGGGTAGCATCGTAATACTTGACGAATTATACCATTATGTGGAGGTAGTTTAGGCGCCACTGCATGGCTATGCTCGCTGGGCCAATGGCCTTCTTATAACACTGTTCTCTGCGCCGGCCTACAAAGGCACCACAGAAGAGACCGTCAACATGGGTGCTTGCATTGAAGCCTGTGTCAGCGGAGAGCTGATTGTCAAGCAGGTTAGTATGCACGTTTGTCATATATGTTTCGTCACAAATCCATAATGCAACTCACCTTTCAGTTAAAAGCTAAGGAATCGATTCGTAGGAAACGTGAGGATGATGTTTACAATCGACAAATGGCCCACGCAAAGCTGATGGAAGTCACACGAGGCAACGATGTTGAAAATCCGGAGCGAACGTGAACAAAAAATCTTCTAAAGGACCAAGTGTAACAAATATCAAGCAGCTTCTGTTGAAAGTTATAAATGTGAACACAAAGTTTTTTCGGTCTCACGGAGCAAAGTCATCCAAAACCCAAGAGAATAATGAACTCACCACGTTATAAGAGCTGTTTTTTACACAGGACGAAACTAAGAATTTTCACTACTTTGGAAGCCTACATTCCTTTTTTCAAAATATATGTGCGTGTTTTAATTCTAAAGTAGTCTTAGCTTTTCCATTATTCATTTCACTCTATTCATTTTTTAGAAGTCGTTAATAACAAAAAGTGCAGAACCAGGCGGCTTGTCTTAATTTTTCACCAGAAAGCCATAATAGGTCCATGTGCGTTTAGTTAGCTTAGCAAAGTTACTACAACATCGCGATTTCAATCGTCCTATACCAAAACACAGTAGTTGCTGTCTCCTTGTCGCCTTTTCTTCATAAATTCATCACAGCGAACGTCACTTCACACACATGCCACCTTCAAGAAGTTATTGTTCATTAACACTTCGAATTTCATTCTTAGCTCCACGTGGCTGCCGGACCTACTTTCGCCATATTCACTGTGAGTTGACAGAAATTTATGCCGTCCCAACAGTCTCTCTAGCCAATCATCACATCTTCTCTTTGCAATTTCCACTTTGAAATTCTCCTTTGTTGAATATTTCATTAACGCTGCTAATGTTTCTTTTTGCTTCTAACGGTTTTCTAAATTCTTCCGGACACCAAGTTTAAGGAATATTTCGAGGTCGTGCGTGGTGAGAACAAACAGCCCCAACACAACTACGTCGCTACCAAAATCTGGAGCTTTTCTTAAAACTCATATGGAGCAAATGGTGGAATTTTTAATTAACTATTTATAAGATCAGCATCACCTGCAGTCCCGTTAATCGCAGACTGACTTTAGTAGGCGCCAGTAAATCTTTCACTTTTCTCTGTTGCGTGCAAGAGTAGTCCAGTTACTTCTGCTCCTTCTAGGGACTCGTCGAGCATCAAACAGTTCTTCTAGGCTTTCCCTGAAGAATTCTGACTACCGAAGCGGTGGTTTTTTTGGAGTGCGTTTAACATCCCGAGGAATTCAGTAATTAACGGCTCTTGTCCATCGGTTGTCACTCATATTCATTACGTGTCCGGTCCATCTTATCTTCGACTATACGGATGCCATCTTTGATTTTCCATCGTTGACGCAGGTCGGCACTTCAGATCTCTTCCCTTGTTTGTGTAAAACGGCATGCTCCTAGCGTAGTCCCTTCAACTGTGCGTTCAATAACGCTTAGTGATCTTTCATCCTCCTTACGCAGCGACCAGGGTTTTGACGCATACCATAGGGCAGGAAGAGTCGAAAAGGTGGGCACGGTGTCGGGTGTTTCTTGTCCTCTTCACTATAGACCCGATGCTCTAGAGAGCTATCCAAGCCGCTCGTTCTCCTCTGCTCAACTCTGGAGCTAAGTCGTTCAACGTGTTGATTTCCCAACCTAGATAGACATAACTGAAGCATTCGGAGACATTCGTTTCGCTGAGCGCGAATGGGCATAGGAAAGCAATCCGTTCCTCATGAACACCGTTTTTGTGAGATTTAGTCAAAGACCAATCTTTCCAGACCCTTTATCAAAGTTGGCAACAATACGTTCCGCTTCGCTAATGTTTGGTGTTTTAACGATCACAGCGAAGATCACTTCCATATTATCCCATTTCAAAGTTCGCATGACGTTTTGGTGGGTGGCGGTAAATAATTTTGGCGAGATGGTGTCGCCTTACCTAACCCCTCTTTTGACGTCGATGTTGATATCGTTGCAAAATGGTAATATCTTGTTGTGAAATTTTTGTACAGCTGGCGAAGATTCTTTGTGTACTGAGCAGGGGACTCCTTAACTATGAAGGGTTTCCATGACTGCTTCTACTGCAGTTGAGTCAAGGGAGTTCCTTAAATCAATCAAAGTAAGGCAGAGCGGTCTTTTGTTTTTCGCGATACTTCAATGAGTCTTATAATCGCGTGGATGTGGTCCGTCGTGCTAAATCCTTTTCGGAACCCTCCTTGCTTACACGGCTGCCCTTCGCTTAGTCTTCTGTCAATCCTATTTACGATGACTCGAGCGAAACGTTTGTGAACGACAGACGGCAAGCAGATTGCGCGATAGTTGCCGATATCGTGTTGGTCACCCTTCTTGAAAAATAACACAGTCTTGCTGGTCTTCCACTGAGTATGGAGGAACATGCATTCGCACAAGTAACGTGTGAAGATCCGAGCCAGTGTAATTACGAGAACTGGAGGAGGGTTGTTCAGGTGTTTATGTCTTATCCTGCCCGGACCTGTCTTATCCTGTTTATGTTGCTCGATTTTTCACTGACGAAATGACACGTCGGATTTCGGAAGGAAGAACTGGTGGTAGAACGTATCCATCCTCCTTTATTTCATATGACGGAAGATGCACGTGGCAATTGAAGAGATTTCAGTTGTATTCGTGAATGATTTTCTACATTGCCTTTCTGGACGCTGTAACTGTTCTGTCTGGGCTTCGGAGTGCAAATGTCTTGGCCTTGTAAATGGCGAAGTTTCGATGTGCTTCGTGAGTGCTTTTCCCAGCCTCTACAGCTTCGCCCATTACTGCTGCTTTTCTTTCTCAAAGATCTTCTTTTATCGTTTGTCTGCAAGTTCGGACGTTAGTTCGCGGTTGCCTGCAGCTCGTACGATTCCACGCTGGCGTATCAGCTCGTGTGTGTCTGGAAACAGACATCTTTTGGTGGCTTTCATAGCGCTAGCGTAAAGATGTTGAATGAGACGATCGTATTCTTCGTCGATGTTACCGACAACGGCACCTTCCAACAGCCCACCAATGAATTAAATAAATCCCAGCTCACGGTGGTTCTGGGAGGCTCGGTTTTTGAATTTAGCGGCTTTTTCTCCTTTCCGCGAAAAGTAGAATCTTGCACCAAAAAGACGATGGTCTAATCCCGTGTAGACTTTTGGAGCAACAGCGACATCGGTTAGACAACACATTCCATTTGCTATAATGCGGTCTATTTCGGCATGGTACTCACCATTGGAAGACACCCAATTCTAGCGTGGATGGTGGGGCTTATGGAATTGCGAGTTTCCGTGAATCATCTTGGCTGTTATGATAAACTCAGACAGCGGCTCATCCTGTTCGTTCCATAAAAATCCATGAGTCCCAATGTGACGTTTTCCAGACTTTCTTCTTGGTACAATCTTAGCGTTGAAATCCCCAATTACGACCTTGAAGAATGTATGGTCTTCTCTGTAGTACCTCTCCATGTCCATATACAATGCTTCGACTTCTCCTTCATCATAGTTTGATATCGGCGCGTAAACGATGAAGGTTGTCAAAGCCGGTATTAATCCACGTTTTTTTAATCGTAAACGTCCGATTCGGGTTGTAAGGTGTTCGAATGAATCGATGTTAATGCACAAACTCGTGTTGACGAGAAGCCGACGCCGCCGACTCTTCTACTGTCTTATGTTCCGATGAACAGTTCTTTTGCGGTGTCATAGACGGCGTTGAATGGGTGGCGACGTCTCGTCTCGGCCGCGCCGATGACGTTGTACCTCATCCTTCATGCTTGCATGGGAAAGTCTTCTATCGATGACTCGGATGCAAGTGTTCGTGCAAGCATTGTAGGTACAGATCGTTATCTTAGTTTACTGAGATCCGGGACGCTTCCATTGGCCCGAGATTTTAGCAGCCTCTCCGTACTCATGCTACCCAACGCTGCCGAATCTGGGGCTCTTTCGGAGCCATGGGAAGGACGCCCATTTCTTGTATTGTTTTTACCTTTTTGTCATCCACGTATAGCTTGCTGGGCTCTGAATGTAGGGGCTTGGTATAGTCACACGTAGCTTGCCAGACTTTCCCAGAGTGGACATGGAGCTTATTTGTTGGAAGTGGTTTCTTACCGGCTCCCATATACTTCTCTGTCTCTCGATTACAGGCTTTTGGCCGAATTGATTCGTAGAACACAATCCGCTTTCTAAAACTAGCTGAGACACAGGCGAAACGAAGGACCCACATAGTGTGGTGGTGAATGCGTTACTCCCCAGAAAGGACAATAGCACGTTCGTTCCCAACTGCAGACACCTGCGGTCCGAAGTTTTGCAAATATCTCAACATTATTAAAGTTATATTTCGCAATATATACCCTGCCGTTAAAAATAGTAGGCAGTAAATAATAAGTTAAAATATCTGAAGAACATAACTTTTTATTTACAGCCTATTTTTTTCGCAGCAGGGTATTATATAAAGTACAACCACAATTTTTCGACTTTCCTTTAAGCTCGGCATTACTAGTCAGAGCGTTTTGTTTCTTTGATGAGCTTACACGAGATTGATAAAAACATTTATTTTCGGCTAACGTTTCGGCGTCTTCCTCTTCATTAAAGCTGATGGTCCTCGCTTGTTCTTTGTCTAGATGTGGCAGCTTAGCCTTCTTGTCGAGTCAGGTCTTCCTCAGCGGACCATATCCTCGAATGAGGCGCACTCACTCAGTGATGTTCTTTTATGCAGGATACTGATGGTTGATAGCTGTGATCGGGGCAATCAATCCTGCAGAAATCGGTGACATTATCTGTGGGTAAAGAACAATAGCAATATTTCAAAACTAACAGTATTACTAATCAACATGTACTCCTTCAAGCGTGGACCACCAACTCAGATTATCGGTTCTGATAAAGACGAAGACGTGGAAACGTTAGCCAAAAATAAATATCTTTGTCAACCTCGTATGAGGTCTTGAAAAAAATAAGAGAATCACAATATTGCCGAAACATTTAAAAAATGCCTCGGCAAAACTCTGTTTAAGGGTGATTTTAGAAGAAACCAGATAATCCTTGTATTAATGTTAGTACATCATCGTTCAATCGCCCACTTCATCTGTCAAATGAGCGATTAGTATTGAAAAATCCGCTAATTCGTTATAGTGCCCGACCTGGCAAAATTTGGCGAACGTCCTTCATTTGTTTCATTAC